TTCTTTCTTTCTTTCTTTCTTTCTTTCTTTCTTTCTTTCTTTCTTTCTTTTTTGAAACAGTGTCTCATCTTGTAGCCCTGGCTGGCCTGGAACTCATAGGGACCTGCCTTTCTCTGTCTCCCAAGTGTTGGGATTAAAGGTGTGCATCTATACACCCAACTCCGTTTCTAAAGACCAAAATGACTAGTTCCTCCAAACACCCAACTTCAGCCTTATTCCCCATGCTCTCTCTCCTCTTGTTTCCCCGAAGCTAATCTGTTTTTTGAAACCAACCTGGATACAAGACACAACTTCATCAGGAATCACTCCCTGGTAACTTTCTCTACCAGTCTTTACCCTATCGGCCACCTCCTCTTCTTCCTTTTTATAACCAGAGTCACCAGGGGTCTCCAGTGTCCTTGACAGCAGGGTCAATACCTCAGCCCTTTAGTCTCTCCCATCACCCAGTTCCTCTAGAGCACTGCCCAGAAGCAAATGGAAGAAAGACATGAACTTCACCTCTTCTGAATCTGAGCTTTAGTCATAAGCTGGCCAACGAAGGACAGTTACTGACTAGTGTAAGCTTGAAATTCTAGCACTCAGGAACGAGAGGCAGGCCACATATTCCAGTCCAACGTGGTCTGCACAAGACCTGTCTCACACAAACAGAAGACAATCAGTGAGAGGTGACTTGGGGTCATCACAAAACAGAGTGGAGGAAAGCCAATCACAAAACCAGCTGCTGGCAAACCCAGAAAGGCTTCCAGGAAGGAGCCCGAAAGAATAAAAGCTTTAGGAAAACACAGCATTGTGACATTAAAGCTACAGGCTGTATTGACCAGCGTACAGAACTTAATTATTAGACAGATTAACAAAGACTTTTGCCAATGATGCTACCCCTAGCACACCAGTGAAATAATGGACTTGTCTAGAGCTAGAAGTAATTCTACATGAAAACCCTGGAAAGAACAGAGCCCTGCAACATACCAGAAACCCAAAAGATTCATTAAAGGTGACTGTTCTCACAAGGAAAAGAAATCACAGTGTAAAAACCTTCCTTTGGGATTTTGCAACAGATTCTCTGGATAACATCAGTTAGTTTAATTGGCAGGGGTAGTTACAAAGTCTTATCATTTCAATAGCCAAAAAATCAGCTAGTCAATAAACTTTGGCATCAATAGATTTAAAGATGCATATACACATATACATTTTCCAGATAGTTTCCAAAACTTTCCATCTTCCACAGTGGGGGTAAAAGTGCCAAAATGTCCTGTTTTACAAGTGCTCTAAAATATTCAATTTACACACTTCAACTCACAGCAAAGGTCTTACTTTTGTTTTTTTTTTGTTTTTTTTTTTTTTTTGAGTCAGGATTTCTCCCTGTCCTAGAACTCACTTTGTAGACTAGGTTGGCCTCAAACTCATGTAGACCTGCCTGCCTCTGCATCTCAAGTGCTGGGACTAAAGGAGGTCTAACTTTTTCAACAGATATTCCTGATCAGTCCTTGGGATCTGGGTGCTGGGGAAGCCATCCCCCCACAGGCTGCCATCAGATGGCTGGACGAGAGTGCTCGTCTTGTTCTGGTGGTGTGGATACAAAGCTGGCCTCCAGGTTCCTCAGTCCCTTGTGCATGTGCTCAGAGTTGGGATGCAAGCAGATAGCACTGAATGTATCGTCTGGATCAGCTTTCTGGTCTGTCAGTTTCCATTCTCTCTCAAGATGGAGTTAGTAAAGCAAGTCCATGTGGGGTTGTTGTGGGCGTTAAATGCAACCATGGAGACAAGTGATGCTGGCCACTTTGCAGAGAATCCTTCCCTTCAGGGTTCAGGGTTAGTGGTTAGCTTCATGCATAACAACACATAGTATTTCATAGGCAAATAGCTTAAATTTCTCAGAGACAAGTTTACTAAGTCAAAAAAAAACCTTTTGTTGTTGTTTAGTTGATTTATGTTGCCAGTTTTTTCCAAAAAGTAAATGCCAGTAATGATGGTAGTGATGGGAAACTGTTAAGGTATTTTGATCCTGTCTCCATCAAAGGATGCTCTTTAGCTCCTGGCAGGCAAGATACAGGGACTCCCTGCATTCTGGATTCTTGGCTTCTCAACCTCTCCCCATCCTATAGCCATTGATGTTTTTAAATAGTCTTTGCTGGATTTCATCCATTTTGATCTGAATGCATTAGCTGGGGGTATACGTCTTTGACATTAATTTAAAAGTAATTCATTAAACCTAAATACAACTTACTTTTGTTCCAGTGAATATTCATTTGATTATTGAGGAAAGATGTTTGTCTGTTTGCAAATATGTCACTTTTCATCTTCTGGAACCGATGCCACTCCTACGGCACTTCAGGTTGCTGTTAGGAGTCTGCAGGACTTGTGTGTAACAAGCATATTCCTGTTACATTCAAATGTTTGTGGGTAGACTACTTTTGCTAGTTTGTTTCAAAATGTATTTTATTGTTCATTTTGTACATATTACAACATTCTAAGCCTATCATAAATAGCTCCCTTAGACTTCCTGTACTTTGAATTCTGATAACATGTGTGTGTGTGTGTGTGTGTGTGTAAACATTGATTTTTCTTTTTTGCAAATTAATCTGTCTGTATTGTGCAAAATGTTTATCTTGTCATTGATTTGTGCTCTTATCACTATCAAACACTTCATTCTTTGTAAAATTTATTTGGACCGTATTTTTGCCTCATTAATCTATTTTAGTACCAGTAACACATGGTTTTCAATTTTATAACATTAGAATATATCTTAATAATTTGGTGAGGATGGTCCTTTTTATTATCATTCCTTCCTTCTCAAAACTGGGTTTTGCTATTTTTATTTTCTCTTCCAGAATTCTGTTGAAGTTTCCTTCACCAACACCCCAATCGATGAGAGAGACAGTTATCACAGTTACTAAGTTCATTCTTTGGAAGAAATTAAAAATACAAAGATATATTTTAGCTGAGTATGGTGGCTCACACCTTTATTCCCAGCACTTGAGAGGCAGAGGCAGATGGATCTCTGTGAGTTCAAGGCAACCTGAGCTAGGCTTCGTTCCAGGCCAGGCAGGGCTACACAGTGAGTCCAGTCTCAAGAAAACACACAAACAAACAACATCTTTTGATCTTGGAGTCAGTCTCTGGGCTAATTAAAGTTACTAGAACACCTACAATTTCTGCTTAGGGTCAAGAGTGGTGGCCTTTAAGTCCAGCAGTTCAGGGGACTCTATGGTAGTTCATAGCCATCCTGGTAATTTATCCAGGTCAACTAGGGGGCCACCTTGTCTCAAATACAAAACAACAAAAAAAGCAAAAAACAAAAGCAAACAACAACAAAAACCACAAAAACAAAATAAAAGGGCTCCCTCTCTCTGTTTCTGCAGGTCACAGATTTCAGGGTTAAAATAAGTCAGGAACTTCATATATTTTTTCATCTTGTAAAAATGAGTCTAAATTTTGCTCCAGTTAATGGCTGCCCTTGCTTTCAAATACTGTTGACGTGTGTTAAGGTTTATGTCTTCTAACTTTTACTAATTTATTAAGTAGATTCATGCTTTCACTAAGGCTTGGACTATGACTGTATTCAGTGCATATGAGCCACAACATGATTTTCACTCTGGGTAGCTCTTCTTTCCTTTCTTTTATTACATTCATCACGGTATTAAAAATTCTTTTAGGTAACATTGTAGCAACACTATTATAATAACTTTGTCCTCTTCAGTCACATACATCTCTAGAACTTTTACATTAATTCTAATATTCATAACTATAAAAAATTATTATCATGCTGAGGAACTATTTTATTTTCTTATGTTTTATTTTCTATCAGGAATCAATGCTTTTAAGAATGACCCATCGAGGGCCAGCGAAACGGCTCAGTGGGAAAGGCACTTGCTGCCAAGGCTGACAGCCCGCTTTCAATCTCCAGGACCTACAGAATGGAGTCAGAGAACTGACTTCTGAAGACCCAAAAAACTGAACAGAATAAAAGGATTTTAAATCTATCAAATTAATGATTTACCACACTTCTTTAATCTACTGCTATTAAATAGCTCAGTATAATTTTGTCAATGTGTGGAGCAGCTTAAATACACATTGTTAGCTGTGATGAGGTCTAGTATATTGAAGACAGGATGATGGGCTGGATACTGCAACACAGACCTTTCATCCCAGCACTCAGGAGGCAGAGGCAGGTGGATCTCTGTGAGTTCAAGGCCAGCCTGGTCTATCTGTCAAGAGAACCTATCTCAAAACAGCAGCAACAACAAAAACAACAAAAACGAAGCCAGAATAATGGAATAATGCTCAGGCCTGAACCAGACACTCACACTTTCATCTTTTATAAGGCTCAAGGAGCATTTTGGAGGAGGTGGTGGAAAGAATGTAAGAGTCAAAGGCAAGAGAGGAGCCACAGAATTCATCTCCTGGGCTAGTCGGAGCCATGACAGTCACGAACTCAGAGGCCAGCTGGTGGGGATGCCTGCACCGGGAGAGCTGGAAACCACTGAGTAACCAACTCTAGCCGACAGTTCTGGTTCACATGGGTCACCCCAGTTAGACTAATGTGAAACAAAACAAAACAAAATCCATGCATCTGTCGGGATGGGGAGGAGAAGGGAGACTCGAGTAGAGAAGAACCAGAATATATTTTATACATACATGCAGGAAATTGTCAGACAGAAAAATTAATAAAAATTTAAGAACAGATAAATTATGTTCTGTTTAGAGTTTTTACCATATACTCTTTAATGCCATTATTCCTTTATGACTAGAAAACAGTCAGTTTTTTCTAGTTTGCTTTAAATACGTTTTGAGTGTATGTGTGTGTTGCATGTCCACGCATGTCACTTGTGGAGCTCAGAGGCTCAGAGGACAACACTTTCCTGTCTGTGCTGTGTGCACTTCCTGGATTCTCCAGTCGTCACCACACAAGTGCTGGTATGACAGACACAGGCTACTGGGCCTGGCTTTACACGGATCGAGACTGAACACAGGTCGTCAGGCCTGTGCGACAAGCATTTTCCTTATCACCGAGTCACCTGCCCATACCACTGCTTACTGTTTTGTTTCTCATCGCAAAAAGTCTTTGTTTTACTTGATATGCATAGTGCTGTATGTATTGAAACATTTTAACTTATCTATTTTTACACTTTTAATAGTTTTATATTTTAAAGAATTTCATGCATGATCACTCTGTTCCTCCCTCCTCTCCATCCAACCCCTCTTGTGTCCCCTCCCCTCTATGTTCTTCTTTAGTTATTATTTTCCACATGTACTTTGGATATAAAAACTGTAAAGCAGAACAAGCTTTAACCATTGAAAATCCATGCTGTTGTCTTTAAGTATGACTGTTCTATACGACATCAAGTCACCAGACTTTCATTCTTACCTTTCCATTTGAACAGGAAAATTTAGATCACATATTTCATAAAGTAAAATCATGATTAGACTTTTCAGCAGTTTCTTATTGTTTCCTAACCATTCTGTACTTTTGTGGACTATGTTTTACTTACTTTTTATCTTCTGTAATTATTAAGAAAAGCAACAGGTTTTTCAGTTCCACTAGCGCTACATGGGATTGTCGTCAAGTGCTGTAAAATGCATTGTACACTAGACGGCTGAGTTCAGAATTTCCTTTCCCTCCTTGTACTGCAATCTGGTTGCAGCCTCCTTTTCAGAACCTCTTCGAACACACGCTCTCCACTCACAGAATCGGATCTGACGTCACTGTACTTGATCCTTGGTGCTGAACACCCACCTTTTAAAGTGAAATTTCCCAGTCTTGGATTGTTTTACTGTTCCTCCATCCCCAGCCCCTGGAATTATGGATAGCACTTCACTCAATTTTCTGCAGAAACTGCTTTTAGTTGCTATGTTTTCTGATACCTGGAAGACATTTAAAGTTTAGTTAGCTGCTTTCACAAATAAGCTAATGACTGGGTAAAACATGCAGAATCAAACTGGATACTCCTATAATAACATGAAAATTTCTTCAGATTTTTAATGAAAAAGGTTTTCTCTCTTAAGAAGGCCATAGACAAGCTGGTCATACCCACCATCCATTAACTTGGGGGTGGCAGGCAGCTGCAGCGGGGGATTAGGAGTTTGAGGCCAATTCGTAGTTATAGTGACTTCAACCCAACCTAGGCCTGTCTCAGAGAACCAAGGAATCACTATAGCCAAGGATGGAGCACTTGCCTGGTATGCACAGGAACCTCATTCTACCTCAGCACTGCCAAGTAAGACAACCAGCCACATTCAAGGAGCCTTGCAGGTGCATGGTTTTTTTCATATGTACATGCAGGTCTTTCTTTGTTCTAGAAATTTAAGAACCTACTACCTATGAAAGGCATCCATATGTATCTCTTCATTTTGCTATAAACAACCTAACTATGTCAGCAGGTTTTTTTTTAAGATTTATTTTAAGACTAGGAATAGTGGCACACACCTTTAATCACAGCATTCAAGTGGCAGAGGCAAGCCAATCTCTGTGAGTTTGAACCCAGCCTAGTCTACACAGTAAGTTCCAGGACAGTCGGAGCTGTATAGAGAGGCCCTGTCTCAAAAACATATTTTTTATATACATATTTATAAACATAAATATTTATGATTTTAATTACACACACACAAGTCCACGTGCACACGTGTGTCTGTGTGTGTGTGTGTGTGTGTGTGTGTGTGTGTGTGTGTGTATGTGTGTGTACCTGTAAGTGCAGGTGTTCTGGGAGACCAGGTATTGAATGTCCCAGAGTTGAAATTAAGGCAGTTGTGAGCTGCCTGACATGGGCGCTGGAAACTGAAATTGGGTCCTTTGGAAAAGCAGCAAGTGCTCTTAATCACTGAGCCATTTCTCCAGCAACACCATCACAGTTTTTAGCACAAACTGATGTCTTCTGTTGTAATTTTCAGCATTTTTTCAAGTTTGTCTGCTCCATTTTGGGGGGATAACCCTTTATTTTACTTATAAGTTCAAGACACACATAAATATAACATTAATAGCACATATGATGCAATACTGTCTTAACCCTGTTAGTGTCGGGGCTGTAGGACAGCGACGTTTGCTGCCCCGAGGGAGTACACATTCCACATGGAAACACACAGCCTGTCTACCTAGGGTCCCTTCTGATACCACAGACATTGACTTCCTGGATTTGTTTCACTTATCAGGATCTAGTCTTATTTTTACCTGTTCTTGTTTGCTTAGGAACAACTGCATCTCCTGTTGTACTGTTCTAATCACATTCCTAAAACAACTCAGATTAACAAAAGGCTATTGCAAAACCAACTATTTCACAGGGGTAAACGGCCCAAGGCTAAAGTTTCAATGGTAAGATTTGTCTTTGACTATAGTCCTTTCAGTGATGTGTTTTTATACAACAACTCAAAATATAATTCATACATTTATAAAGCAGTAAATTACAGTCTTAACTATCATTAATTATATGTGTGTGTGCATGCACACGTGTGTGTATGCATGTAATAGTAGATCTTAGGCAGAGTTTGTAGGGCCATAAAACAAACTACATCACAGTTTCCAACTGGTTACCATAAAGGGAAGACAAGGCCACTGCTGAACAGTTAACCAAGTGCACTGATCTATTCCCGGCCATGGAGATGCTCACCTAGGAAAAGTGCTTGCTGCCAGGCTTGACCTAAATTCAAACCCTGGTATCTACATGGTGGAAGGAGAAGCAAATTGTCCTCTAGCCTCCACATGTGTTTTGGCATGCACCCGACCAATAAATAAGAAAATGTAAAAACAATTTAAAAATAAGCCAATCTATCCTCAATTTTTTAATGGAACACCTCCATTTCTCCTCCAACAGTTCAGTTCTCATATTACACTACTGTCAAGTGTAGTGTAATTACTTCTCTAACGAAAGCAGGGGTGTTATCTCTATTTCTATGTATAAAATCTGGGAAGTCACATGACTGAACTCTCGCCACAGGAAGCAGGTGTAGTGTGCTGTGCTGTGTTTACTGCTCCAGTGTAAGAACTGTCAAGGAATCCCAACCTAGTGTGAACAGGTGAAGAACCTCCATCCCATGCTGCCCCGTGCAGCAAAGAAATATCCCTTTTCAGTTAAATCGAGAGTATGTTTAGCCGTTTACAACTGGAGGGCCGAGGAGAAAAGACCAGAGGGGAAGATGTTAGTGGAGCTAACATGTTTCAATTTACTGGTACACCTCATCTAGAAGACCTCATGTAGGCAAGGTTTTCCATCTGACTAGAAGGCATAGGAATGCGGTTCTGGTCAGCAGTGGCTTCCTTCTGCAGGCACAGGACATCCCAGGGCAGGTGAAGGACCACAGGAACACACTGGCAGACAGACTAGAGTGGAAGAAGTGTGTGCCTCATCTGCCCAATATCCAGAAATGCTTATTTCTTATATTTTTATTGCTGATACATAAAATTATTTTTCAGATGATTCTAAAGCTTTTAAAAAAGTAATTCAATGGAAGAGTGTTCATAGACAGAAACTCATTTGGTATCTTTCCAGAAGTTCCCCAAATTGGAATCTTAAAATATGCTTACTAGGATGAAAAACCAGCTTAAAAACAGTTTGTCAAGTAAGTCTGGGTTTTTTTTTATTCAATGAATGATTTTAAAAATTAGCTTCATTGTTTTTTAATTTACCATCTGTTAACTCAATAAATACAAGTTCTTAAAGTTAACCTAATTGTCTTGGAATTTGCTGTTTTTGAAGTTGATTAAAGTTATTTAAAATAATTTTATTGTATATTCAGACTGAAACAAAGCATGTCTGCACGTGGACAGATCTTGACTAATAATTTGCAAATAAATGTGCCCATTCGTAAAATGAACCACTTATGTTTATGGCTCTTAAGATGTATCAGTCAATATGTGAACATACACACAAAGAGATGCTGATACAAGAGCATCAAGGCTTAAAATTCATCACTACAATTAACTTTTTCCCTGAACTCACAGGAAACACATGCCTTAGATGTGTCTGACAACGGGGAACTAGCGATCTTTTTGTTCCAGACTACTGCCTGCTAAAGGGTCTCCCCTAGGCTTCAAACACTTAAAAGTATCAGGCATGAAGAGAACCAGGCTGGGGCAGACATTACATGTAGTAGACTATGTCAGCCAACCATTATTAAATAAACTAAGCAGGGTATAGTGGTAAAGGCCTTTAATCCCCGCACTTGGGAGACTGGGCAGGAGGATCTGCCAGTTCACGGCCACCTAGTCTTCATAGTGAACTCTAGACCTGCCTGTATCAGTCATAACTAAAGCTTTGATTGACCTTTCAATTGCCTAAACCTACTTCCAGGTTATTTATCTGATTCTTTAATTGTTTTTTACTTTTGTGTGTTTAAGACAGGTCTTATTCCAGAACCTTATGCCTCTGCCTCCTAGGTCTGGGGTTACATGTGACTGCCATTCTTTCTAGTTATGTATGAAAGGATCTCAAAGTCAGAGTGAGTCCCAAGCCCACTGATGGGCAAAGAACAGAGCACAGACCACCGGGGGCTGTGCCATCTTCATTGCACACGGTGGTGGTTTGAATAGGAAGGGCCCCCATAGACTCACATAATTGAATGCTTGGTCATCAGGGTGTGGCACTACCTGACAAGGATTAGGAGGTGTAGCCAGGTTGTATAGTGGTACATCATTTGTGTTTTAATAAATAAAATTTGCTGGAAGATCATAGAGCAAAGCAGTCATACTAGTCAGTCATACAGGCCAGGGAGTGGTGGCACACACCTTTAATTCCAGGACTCTGGAGATAGAGGTAGACAGCTGTCTGTGAATTCAAGGTCACCCTAGGCTACACAAGATTAAATCTGTCTAAAAGAGAAACAGAGCTCACACAAAGGTGATCCCAGCACTTGAGGTTCCACGCCTTTAATCCCAGCACTAGAGAGATGGAGACAGGAGTGATATAAATAAACTGAGAGAGGAATATAAAAAGATTGGAACTCGGTGGACGGTGTGGAGTGTGGGGTCTTCAGGATTTGTGGACACAGGATGTCAGAGAGTGATTCACGGCGTGGGGGAGGGGTCAGAAGCTCAGGCCAGACCCAGTATCTCCCTTCCTGCTGCCTGCGGATCCAGACATAGAACTCTCGGCTCTTCCAGCGCCGCTGCCATGTCTGCCTGTGAGCCCCCAAGCTTCTTACCTTGCTGATGAGGCACTAAACCTCTGAAACTCTAAGTCAGCCCCGACTAAACGCTTCACAGCAACTGAAGAATGACTAAGAAACACACACACAAGATGGTAATGTTTACTCTCCAACAGTTGAGGTCACCATTGTGGACCGGAAGCAGCCCAGGCACTTTTCCTAGCCTGAGATTATTGCTGCAATGTAGCATTTCGTGCCCTTTTCATCTCAAGAATGTGCAGCAGTGGATGGAAGACTGTAGCTCTGGCTAACAAGCATCCAACTCTGCCATTTTAAGAAAAGTTTGCTTTACTTGATTATTTTATGAGGGGTGGCTATTTGAGCCATGGCTGCTGAGTAGGAGAAGAGGGCATGTGAGGGCCACAGTAAAATATCCCCAGTCAGGTATAGCTGTTCACCTAGACACACAGAGGAAGGGGAGTGTAAGCTACAACCGCAGCCATGAATGACAAAAGTCAGCAGATTGTTTTTTGGGAGATTGGGAGTAGACAGAGCTTTTCTCTTAAAGAAACCTTTGCAACTGTGTACAGACTCTGGGCTAGCCAGGGTACTGCTTGGGTTCATCCTGCCAGGTGACAGAGTCAGGTGCCATACATTGCTGATGTTTGAATAGCTGATAAATATGGCCTCAAAGCAAGAGAGGCAGGAAGAATAAACAATTAGTAGGATTATAATTATTCCTGATTAATTTTATTATTTGACAATTTCATACATGTATATATTTTGATTATTCTTTCTCCTTATTTCATCTTCCTTCCATTCCTGTCAACCCCCAATCCCATACACATCAGTCCTTTCCCCAGTTTTATGATTTTTGGTTCTACTTTGTGACTCATTTAGTTTAGCTAAGGCAATCTGTGTGAGCATTGGATTGGATCTGGTGAAGCCTGTTGAGGCCATCAGTGAGCCACAACTGAAGGTGATAGCTACCCCTGGATCTATCAGTAGAGAACAGTCCAATGGTGAGGTTAGAGATCCCTGAGTTTCCTCCTCCATCCATGCCTAACTGTTGAGCAATCTGCTTTTATTTATTCATTTATTTTTACAATAGAATTTTTAATTACATTTATTTATGTATGTAATATGTGTGTATGAGTGTGTGCATGAACAATGGTACATGTATGGAGGTCTCCTTCTAAGGTACAGGTCACAGGCATCCAATTCTGATGGTAAGACTTGGTGGCAACCACCTTTGTCTGCTAAGCCATATTACTAGCCCCTGAATCAATTTTTAAAGTTAAAAAAAGAAGTCTCATTCTCAAAAGTCTAGGGCATATGACTATAAGACAGTTTGAACTAAAATATAATTTGACATTATTACTGGAGAGTCCAGCCTCACTAGAAATGTATATACATAAACTTCACAAAACTTATCTACAGGCCAAAATCAGCTTAACAAGTATATGTTAACACGTAGTTAAGCTGACAATACTTACTATTTCAATTTCTCATATAAACATGGGATTTAGCTTATCTTTAGAAACTGGAATATCTGACGTTTTGCTTGGACAGAATACATTCTTCAGACCACTGAAATTCTTCCTTTGATGGATAATCTTATCTGTCAACTTGACTGGGTTTATAATCACCATGGAAACTTACCTCTCAGTGTGTCTATGAGACTGTTTCCAGAGAGGTTTAATTGAAAAGTGAAGACCCACGGTCTAGGGACCTGGACTAAATAAAAAGAGAAGAAAGTGAGCTGAACCTAGCATTCCTCCCTCCCTCCCTCCCTCTCTCTCTCTCTCTCTCTGTCTCTCTCTCTCTCTCTCTCCCCTCCTTCCTGATTGCAGGCAGATGTCATGTGACCAGATGCCTCAAGCTCCTGTCACCACCTTTCCTTCCTCTTTGTGACCCAGAAGAAATCCTTAAGTTGCTTTTGTGAGATGTTTCATGACAGTAATGAGAAAGAGTAATAAATATGCAGCATTGTTTATGATCTTAATCTGGTCAGTTTTGTTGACTTACATTTATGCTTCACCAGGTGAAAATTTAAAAGTTGTGATCCTAGGAATAAGGAATGATCAAACTCCAAAGAATATAAGCAAAGTCCTTTGCAATGTGGACAGTTTAGATTCTGTCTTTACAGTTCCCCAACGAGGGCTAGTGCCCACCCCAACAGGGGCTAGTGCCCACATGGGTCTCACTGCTTCAAAAATCCTTTTGCTCTCCTTCTTTGTTCCTAAAGGAATCCCACTTAGTCTCAAGACTTAGCGTCTGTCGGTTCCTCTAAGGAACTTTTTAAAATGCCTCCAGCAAGAATGTTCGCCTCACCCTAGGTGTTCCCACTGCCTTAGTTCCTCTATTAGCATCGCAATGGCTTTTTCCTGCCCAATAAGAAAATCCGGTCTCTGAGGAGAACTTCCAAGGTCCTTATCCCCAGCCGCTAGCAGAGCTCCTGATTTCTACTAGGTTTAATGAATATTTACTGAATGAAGAAAATATGGGGAAAAAGGTGAATGAAGAAATATTTTGTATTACACGAGTATATAATCCGTTTGATAATAATGTGAGATGTGATTGCTCAAGGTCAGTATTCAGATTTGAACTGAATGGTATCTTTAGATAAATGCTCCTTACAGTTTTATTTTATCATACCTTTGCTAGGAAAACAAGTCTGAAAAAAAGAAAATGTGTTACATTAGTCAGTGTGAAAGACTGACGTAAAATTGATGGGGTTGACTTACTCTAGTGGGGGTGACAGAAAAAGTCACATTATGTCTCCCTGTGGGTTGGTGCCATTCTGGCAACGCTCACCCAGGAAATGGAAGACTTGGGTCACAGAGTGGCCGGACTGGACAGTTCAGCTGGCAGTCCATCAGGGCCAGGGTCACAAGGGGGAGTATGTGAAGCGTCCAAGCTGCTGACTGCTCCATCAGCTTGAGTCCAGGAGTGAAAAGACACACAGAGGAAGCACCTGTGGGTGATCATAGGCAGCAGACATTCACAGGGACTCGGGCTGAAGCCCTTCCTGTCACCTTTGCTCTGTTCTAGTACCAGCTCCAGAAGGAAATAATGGCTCTGACTTTCAAGAACTCCAATTCTGTACAGCTTGAGAAAAATAAAGAAAGTACACCAAGATGAGATGAATGACCTTGAAAATTATTTACTCATTCCCACAATAAATATTGGGGAGCTGAACTGAACTCTATTTTGAGTCAAGCTCTGAACCCCAAATCCCTGCCACTATGGGGGTACCCACTTAGGACATCTGCATAAATGATCTCTCGAAGCTTTGATGAGACAACTTAGCAATAAAAATAACTTCTAATCCAGATCCTTAGCCTTTATTTTCTTTTTCTTAAGAACCAATTTTAAAGTCACATTTGTTTATTGTGTGGGTGGGTGGGTGTGGTTCCTGTGTAGGAATCAGAGGACAACTTTCCAGAATTGGTTCTATCTTCCCACCTTGTGGGACCTGGGGACCAAAGTCAGGTGGGCAGGTTTGGTGGCAAACACCTTTACCTACCATGTTGGCACACAGGCCCAGTTTCCTCTGCTTCAGAGACTGAACATGCTCAGGGTTGCATGGGAGGGAGAAGTCTCTCTCCCTGGCCCATTAGCTATCTTCTTACAGTCTCATGTTCCCCCCCACTAAGGCCACTGATGCTTTGGCCCACTCCTTGTATGAGATGTAGAAGGTCAGACTGTACTATCTCTTTTCTGAAATAATCAACATGGCTATTGATATTAACTATTATCATCTATCTTCTGGTATGTTTCAGGTTTACTTGTCTATTAGCTACTCACATTACATTTGGGGTTCTATGGAGATGTTTGGAGCTATACACTATTAGGTTTGGAAGGAAAGGAAACTCGGAATGTTGGGAACAACGTGCCCTCTTGCTTTGAGTCAGGGGAGATTTGCCAATAATCTGAACTACTAGGTGAACATATGAGTATATAAAAGACAAAAAAAATATACTTTTTAATCTCAAATTTCTGTTAACCTTCACTTCAGACTTCCACAATGACAACCAGCAGAGACTGAGTGTTTGGGGCTCCATTCCTACCGTGCCGTCCTCAGAGGAGACACTGGTAGAAGTTAGGCCATTCAGCACTTTGGCAAATAAAGGCAAGAGAATTTGACGTCACCCAGGACTTGTAGGGGAGAGAAAGTGAGCCGTGAAGGGAAACTCACTGTCCACTTTGCTTTGCTCAAGGCAATCCCTAGGAGCTGTTTGTTTTGCTCTCCAGGGGCCTTCCGGGGCACAGGGTGGAGTTTCCCAAATGAACGCACCTATCCAGATTTGTTTATATCCTCGTGTCTTTGGAATGGGCTCTTGCGTAGAATGGTGATCAACTGAAAAAACACTGGAGAATTCCAGGGACTTCAAGGCTAGACAAGGGGAGGGGGCTCTCAGGAAGCAGCCGGCACCACGCACCGTCCAAGTGCTTGTTACTAAGGTTCAAATCGCTAGTCACCCACCGTATCGTGCTTGATCACAGGCAACCGACAGAAGAGGACCTGACAGAGCTTTTAGGAAAAACTGAATTCTCAGCCCACAGTCACTTTCCAGGAACTTCCCTGCAAACAGCTCTGCGCTGGAGGGATGGAACGCCTAGCAATCTCAGTCCCGCCGCCCTAACTGCCTTCGCTCCACATACAATTATTTATGGGGACTTAATGAGAGAGCAAGCCTTATGTGAAAGAACTCAAGAAAGTGCAGCTGCTATAAACAGACCTAGGCAGTTCTACAGTCCTTATTTTTATAACCGAGCTTCTGCAATTCCTGCCACGAACCTAACAGCTCCACTCCTTGCCAAACACACAAAGAGAAAAGTAAAAACTGTTTTCGTTCTGCAACCCCCTTAACTTTGAGTAAACAGTAGTAATTTTCTGTCATCATATTCAATGCAAATTTCCCAAAGGCGATACAACAGGAAACAAAAGACCTGTTAGTTGATAGCTTCTTTAGAACTGGGGGGTGGGATTGAGTGGCAAGGGAGTGGGTTAAAGTTAATAGAACCCAGTTTCTCCTTAGCTCCGGGGTCCTGAGCCTCCCCCTAGTTTGATCTTTCGGAGTTCTGTGGATTTCCCCCACGGAAAGGTCCCTGGGCTCTGCCTCCCCTCCCAGGAAAGCCTCATTTATTGACTCCCTTTGCCCCATATTTTGGGTGGATGGTGGCAGAGGTGATTTAGACATCAGTAAGCATCTCGTTCTGGTGGGCTGCATGGACCTACAATTGCCGACACGAAAATGACACTAATACAAACGGCTGGGGCGGAGAAAGGGGTCTGTAAGAGGCCCCCTCATGCTCCGTCCGCTATGGGTTCCTCACTAGGGGTGTAAAGCTCCGGGACTGGGATACCCAGAGAGAAGATGGGAAGAAGCTCATCAGCTTGAAGGGAAAGAGGCCCCCTCTAGGAAAAATCTTCTTCATCAACACTAAAGAGAAGGGAAAACTTGGCCCGCATACCCCTACTGGGGAGCGACACACCCCACATAGGCTGGCTTGGGAGGGGGGGTGCTCAGGGCCTCTCACCTGACTTCCTCCTCTGCTGGCACACACACCAGTGCCCCACTCCGCACCCCCAAAGCCCAGGCAAACAACGGCAAGAGGAAGCAGCGGGCGGCAAGGGTGCGCGGCGGGGGCAGTGCAGGTGAGGGCCCGGGCAGTGGGGCTCCGGGGCGCGCCCACACTTACCCTGGCGGCGGGCAGGGCCGCTCTCCCGC